ACAGAGGCTTTAAATATTTCATTGAGGTTCTCAGGTTGCTGGACTTCTGGAGGTCAGGGAGGGGAAGAGAGGCCCCCAGTCCTCTGCAACCATCCTGTTCTGATGCAGGATAAAGAGGAGGAGGAAAAAGAAACCATAATGCGCTTTATTGAAATTTATAGTGAACAAAAACATGTTAATATATAAATGTAAAGTGGAACAAACAGGGGCGGAGCTAGATGGGGGACCAGAGGTGGCCATGGCCACCCTTGGCCAATCTCTACCATTTTCTTCACCCTCTACAGACGATGGCAGCAGTAAAACCATCAAGAAGAATGTTTAAACTTATTAACTTTTACATTTTTCATATATTAATAGTTACTTGACAAATGAAAAGGTGTGGTTGATTATGGACATCAAAATACTAACATTAAAGTAGATTTATACAGAATTCATGCTCTTTTAAGACCCCAATTTTGTGTTATATGGGGTAAAGAGAAAATTATGTGTCTCTGCTAGATAAATAATAACTTAAAAATCAATTTCATGTAGATATTAGTATTTTATGCAGAACAAATTTTGATAAAAGTAGGTAAGTAATGACAATGGAAAAGATGTTTGCCCTAGACATTTTGTCCACTATACCTTTTATTTAAACAGCATGGATGTTTAAATATATGCATCTATTTGTAATCAAAAGGCTGTAGCAAAGTGTAGTTTTCTTTATTTAGAAAATATGGATGTTGTGCTCCTTCCTGTTGGAACAGTGTAGATGGACCCTGAGGTTCTTGCGCCTATCCGCTTTCGGCCACCCCTCAGTTTACATTTTGACTAGCCACCCCTATTAGAATTTTCTGGCTACGTCTCTGGGAACAAAAACGGTTAGGCTTTATCAATATACATATTAATAAAAAATATAATAAAATGGCACGTAAGCATGCAGCCTTTTTTTTTATTTTACACATAAATCAAATCCATGCATTAACATACCTTAGAAGTCACCTAATCGTACAGTGAAAAAAACTGTTTTTGAGCAAATAACCATTTGGAGCAGTAATGAAACAGCATATCATGCATGCACTGAACATCTGAAAGACTCGCACCCTGAACACGTTATTTTGTGGTGATACATGATAGAGGAAATGCTGTGGGAAAAGGGAATCTGTTCAATGGAAATCTAGAGGAGACTTAAAAAAAAAAAAAAAAAACATTATACGCTGCAAAACCTCAGAGTGAAATAAAAAGTCATGTCTGTGAAATGTTTTTTTTCTCTCTTGGATTCATTTTTCTTTTCATTTTTTTTTCATTTTAATTTTTTTTCATTTTCATCATTTTTACTTTGTGTTGGTCAGCTCTGTTAAATTCCAATAAAATCTACATATAGAGACCTAAATCTATTTCTTGATAATACATTTTATATTACATTTTAGTCAGTTTTTGAATCAGCTAGTGGCTGTTTGTTATTTGCAGACTAGAGTAATTGCATGTTTCTGCTCTACAGCAGTGATAAAGACAAACAGGAAGAGAGGACAGATTGCTGCGTGACAGAATACATTTTTCCAGAGGAGGGAGGATTAAGGGGCCTTATGTCAGAGCATTTATCCCCCCCTGCTGTGATTATACAGAGGGCCGGTGGGGGGGTTCAGATGAGGGACAGAGGGTTTGGCAGCTAGCGCCCTCATCTGGTCAACAGCTTAAACAGCACCCAGGGAATATCATGTTCATAAACCAATATATTAACTTCAAGCAGAAAACTAAATTTATACAAACTAATTGAGTTATTGTGGAAAAATAGATTTATTTAATCAGAGACACAAAAAAGAAATTAGACCAACTCAATAGATGCTTCTTTTTCAGCTCAATTTCAGACAAAAGGAATAAAAAACTAATGTGCTCAACGAGAGGGGAGAGAAAACACGCCCCCTGCTGGCCATTCCTGCAGAGATGATATCTAATCAGATTTTCTGTTGAAAGAGAATTTATTTTTCTCTCTCGCCTTTTTGGTTGGTTATTCTCTTAAAATGTTTTCTGACAGAGACATTATGGCTTGATTATGAATAACTAAATCAGTGATTCTTATAAACACCATCATCATTCTGAGGAAATTCTTCACGCACAAAGCTGAAAACCTTTAACCCAACCTAACCATTTACTATACCTCAGTACTTATAGAATGATGCATAAGAATTCATTCAATATTTTTTCTTTAATAAAAAAATTGTAAGAAGCTAAAATCCAGCTTTATTTATTCCATCTTTCTTCTTCTTTTTTGTTTGTATCTTGTTTTAATTTGTGTTGCATTTTCATTGCATCCCTCCTTGCAACTTCTGTTCATGCTTTTGCATTATGTCTTCTTATTTGTAAATAAATATTTTTCTGCATGTTAGCTTTATTAAAAATATGATTTAAAAGGCGTGATACAGTACAGTGAGGCCACACTGACACCTTGTGGAATTATGTGGAAAACTAAAAGATTTACTTAAAGTTCAATGGGGGAAAAACATCATTTTGCATAATATCTCATTGGACTTTAAAAAAAAAAGGGGACATTATAATCCCGAAAACTATAAATGACTTAGTTGAACAGTTATAAAAGAACCGCCTAAAGTTTAATTGGTCCTAAAAGAACATTTTGTTTCTCTTCTTACCATAGCTCCAAACATACAGTGTTGTGAAAAAGCATTCAACTATTTCAGATTTCTTTAGTTATTGCTTTATAAAATTACACTTTAAAGTTTCCGAATAAACTTTGACATCAAATATATATATAATTAAAATGTAGAAAACTGTTTTCAAAAAATGGTTTTATTTAATACAGAAGAAAAAAACAACTTCCAACCAATTTGGCCCTATATCTTGGGTAAATATATTTCAATTAAAAGAAGAAAATCAGTTCAGTTTATTTATTAAGGTGCCGATTCACAACATATCATCTTAAAGCACTTTCCAGGGACATATCCATCAAACCACACAGTCAGACTGTTTTTTATTTTTATTTTTTATTTTTTTAATATCAGATGAAATAAAGGGTTTTTGATAATAAATGGCCATTGAAATCACATCCTCCAACTCCCATTGTCATTGTGACACAGCACACACAAGTGAACACTGCACACCATGAAATTGCATTTATGCCTCACCCGTGCAAGGGGGCAGCCCTCAATGGCGCCCCAAGGGGGGCAGCCCTCAATGGCGCCCCAAGGGAGCAGTGTGGCGGGACGGTACCATGCTCAGGGTACCTCAGTCATGGAGGAGCGCTGGTTAATTACTCCCCCCACCAACCTGGCGGGTCAGGAGTCGAACCGGTAGCCTTTGGGATCCAAGTCTGACACCCTAACCGCTCACCCACGACTGCCATAGCAGAAAACCTCAATTATAGTGCAGAGTTTGACTAGGAAAAATAAAACCTGTTTTTTTTTCTGAACCAACCAGGGTTGGAGTTGCTGTTTTATATTCCAAGTGTGCTTAAGGTTAATGTCACTGAGGGATTTTTCGACCAGCAGCCAATTATTTCAATATTTTTTTAAACAGATCATTTATGTCCTGAAGCAGGGAAAGCTGCTCCAGATCATCACAGTACTACCACCATGTTTGCCTGAAGTTTTAATCCTGTTTTCTGGGACCGGTCTTTTTCAGTGGCAGCGCCCCAACTTTAGAATAATCTTCCACAAGAGTGTTTCCTCACCTCCATCCAGAACACTTAATACTAAGCGCAAGATTTATCTTTTTATATAGGCTTTTAATCCCATTTAGTGCCCTTTTACTTTTTCTAATGTGAATCTTTTCTTTTTATAATGTCATTTTCATTGTAAATTGCTTTGGCCACCTCAACCAGCTGTTGTCAAACTCTTATAAAAAATCAATCATATTTCCTCCATTTGAAAAAAATAATTTTGGGGTTCAAGTATCCGAAAAGAAAATGTTCTACTACCTGTATATTGACAAACAGCTACAATTTACAAATTTTAAAAGCAGCTGAAACTCTTACATTTAAACTAGATTGGGTGAATATACTATTAAGCATCTATTCATTTCAGACATCATTTAGCCAAAAAAAAACAAAAAAAAAAAACAGGTTCAAGATTTGAATGATACATTTACTTATGCATATCTAGTAATTATCCACTGGGATTGTTTGAAGTATGTTTTTTACTTTTGTGTCCGAGCAGGTTGTTCTCACAGATTTTAAATTAAAGAAATAACATATTAACAGCACCAGTCGAAAGTCAGAACAGGCCCACTAGTTCAGTGGTTTGGTTTTATTTTTAGGACTTCCTCTGGAATCTCATTAAAGACTGAGCAAAACAAGAGGATGTGTTTTAAAGAATGTAAAACAAAAAACATGACATATGTTTAAGGTTTGCAGAAATTAAAGAAGGAACAAGGAATTTCCAAAGAAATTCATTGATAATGAATATTTGAAAACGATGAACTTTTTCTTTTACATTTTAACTCCAAACCTGTTTATCAGGGGTTTATATGATAGAGCAACACAAAATAGTGGAGTGAATCGGATTAAAAAGGTTTCTCACCCCCTTTATATCACTTAATATATGTAGTGCTTTAAACTGCTTTCAGAAAGACTTTATGTAGTAAAACAACTAAGAACATATCCCTCTGAAAACAGTTCTCCATATTGAAGAAGGGTAGTGGCAGCATCATGCTGTAGGGAAATTTTTTGTTAACAATTTTTTCCAATTTGTTCGTTAAGAAATTGGAAAAATACAAGGGATGTTCTTTGAAAACATTCACCAACGTTGTGCTAGTCCACAAAAATAATCTAAAATATATTAAAAGTTAGTGATTATAACTGGACAATTCATCATAGAAGTAAAAAAAGGATATTTATGCATGAACTGAAATGGAAGGTAATCATAATTAAAAAAATAAATACATTTAATTTCAAAACAATTTGCCTTTTCTAACTGAAACCTGCCTCCGTCTCCTTTCTGAAAGCTTACAATGATTCCAATATTTCCTCCTAAGACGCAACCAAAGAAAAGAAATCAGCACCACACATGTACATATTGAATGTTTTATTAAAAAAGAAGTTATAACAGTTTATTTTATACACAACTATGAGATTATAAGCCTGTTAACAGAGAGCAGTTGTCTTTTTTGACAAGCATGCTCACTTCACAATGGGGGGGAAGGGAAAATAAGATTATCAAATTAAGACCAAAATAAACCTCTTGGAAAAAAAAAAAAAACATCAAAAAATAAAACCTTTGACTTTTTGAATCCTGCAAGTATCACACAAAAGGTACCAAATACATCAGTTTGTTGTTGTTTTTTTTAAACTTACATGTTCAACGCTGAGTGTGCTTGATAGAAGGACCTGATGATGGAGTAGGAGTGCCTGGAAAGGGTAACAAATCCATACAAGCACCAACAATTGAGTGAAGGTGTGCACTGAGAAGCATGCAACTCCTAGATAAAACAGTCAACACAGTGGAAGGAGAGAGGCTGTAGTTTCTGTGTGGATGGAATCGGGTGTGCTAATAGAAAACAGGGCTTTCAATGTTTGGCTTTGAGCTCCTCGTCCTTTTTATCCAGCAGGATGTGCAGGTGAGCACCTTTTTTCTGATCTGCAGGTTTATGGTCAAAATTATGAGGTTTGTCTTTTGAGAATCTGTTTGCACTAAAAAAGTCATTATTTAACAGCCCTTAAAATAGAATCTGCGAGTTCAAGGTCATAGAAGAGATTAAAGTTTTAAAGTCTGTTTAACTTGAGCCAGAATGAGCAATTTCAGAACATCTTTCTATAGTTTAAGTAGAAAAAAAGAGTGGGAGTTAGGCAAACTACACCAAGACGCTCCAAGATGGAAATCAATGTCGGAGAACTAGAAGCCTTAATGCTCAGCTGATGCAAAAAGGAAGGAAAAAAGAAGTGATCCGTCTCTTATTTGGATAAAGCAAGAGAAACTTCCTTTAATGCTTTGCATCATAGTTGGTTTTACACAGCAACTGCAGCACTCAAGCATTACAACTCCAGCCAGTATTGGTTTCCAAAGACAATTTGGACAAAGTTATAGTTTCCCCCTGAAGACAATAACATGCAAAAGGGGGAAAAAATGTGTAAATTGTTTTATAGCGGACACAGAGCTAAAGAATTGCAGGATTATCGGTACGAAGGTGTCCCTTCGATGTTATATCGGTATTTTAATGAACTCAAATGAAGAGCAATGATGTATTTGAAGTTCTTCTTAATTTTGATGCATTTAATTAAGAGATTTGACCTGCAGATCCAAACGGAGAGATAATCAAAGGAAAAGGAGGATTTTAATCTCCGTATTGATTCATGTTTACCCTGGGTTATTAAAAAAACAAAACAAAAAAACAAATTTAACATGTAGTCAGGACGAGTCAGTTTTTAAATAAAAAAAAAAGTGAAAAAAGTTTTTTCTCTTTGTAAGGGTGAAGAGCCGTATGTAACCTGGACACATGGAACATCTTGAAACTGAACACTTTTGCCAAAAGCTCCACAGAGCTGCAGATGTAAATCCTCTGTTACAAACTGAAAACAATACAAAACAAAGTCATGTCTCTGCATCCAAATGTGTTGACGTTTAAGAGCACAAAACAGTGGAAAAAACAGTCTGATAGAAAAAAAGATCGGAGCCACATTTCTGCTTTCTGTACAAGTTAAACCCATCACAATCACTATAGCTTAAAATAAAATTTGCCTAGTTTGAAATCGCTCACACTCAACTGTACAAGCTCGAGTGGGTTCGTCTATATGGTCATATGAGCGTGAAAAATCAGATGAATAAAGAATGTCTTATTATCAGGAAGGTTTACCAAACTACAAATCTATCTATCCTGTTGTAGCGAAAACAAAGCTCAACAATGGCTACTTTTTTTTTTTATACGTCCTAGGTGAAATATGGTTAACCACGATGCAGAACAGAAGGTAACTGTACTTCAAACATCAGCTATGATAAACCTGGGTCACTTCTAAATCATTTTTTGTCAGCTCAAAGACATCAAAATTGAATTGCACCAAGAAAAAAAAAGTTAAAAGAATGTGCTTTTCTAGAATACAAGAATAATCCTAGACTTCCATGGCTTCTTAGGGACATGGTTTTGCCACTGAATTCCTTGATGCAGTAATGAGGCACAGAAGGGGGGTTGACATATGATAAATCATAAATATTTGACTAAATATCAATGTTTTGGAATAGAATTGAACCAAATTTCACTCGTTTTAATGTTCTTTACCAACTAGACAAATATCTTTTCTATCAGGTTGAGGAATGCCAATTGTCTGCGTAAAATAATTCTCAAATGTCTTATTCCATCTGCAACCAGATCCAGAATGCCTCTCGTCGGGTTACACAGCACAGGTCAGACCGATTACGGAGGGTACGGATAGCAGCAGCGGAATGTGAGACGGACTAACCTGTATGGAGCAAACACACAAACCAAGGAACAAAGGGCACTCTTCTTTTTTCACTCATGTCAACCAGAACAACTTTGCAGTTTAAAACTCACTTTGATGCTAGTTTTCATTTGCAAAGGGGGACAACCTGCTTTCTGACTTATAATGATCATTTTATTCTAGAAAAATAAAACAGAACAAAAGCAAGATTCAGATTACAGAAAGACTGTAGTCTAATTTTTACCAAATAAGATGTAAGCTGAAATCAATTACCCAAAGCAACCCATGTCTTCCTGTAATGAGACATGCATCCATTTGTTTTCCAAGATCTGCTGTTTTTTTTACACCAAGAAGGTCAAAAACTAATACAAAAAATATGTAACATCCAACACAGCACCTAAAACTGAAAGAAACCTTGTTATTCCAGACTGTTCTTCATTAACATGTTACCAAAGATATGCTTAGCAAACACTCTGCAGTTATTCATGAGAGTCTATTGGACCTGTGCGTCTTAAAATAGAGTTTGGTAACCTGAATAAAATAAGCGTTTCGCCACATTTGCTTCAGCCTCGACAGCAGTCAGAAAGTACGAGTGACCTGGAAGCAGAGCTACCAGCAAAGCAGAGAGGGACAGGGAGAACTGCAGATTGGGTTTGTTTAAAATTTGCAAGCAAAGCCAGCTTTTGTCTCCAAGTTATCAAGTCCTGCTTTATAAATACTGTCTGAAATAGATGGGAGCACTTTGGCAAGCTGGCCAAACTGCTTGGAAACGGCAAATTAGCAGGGAGAATTTGAAGGCTTGGGGAAAATGTACAATATCGGACAAATGCAGCATAGATTGTGAACGCCATCGGGGAGAAGAACTACAGAGAGGAAGGGGCTTCTGTCAAAACAAACCAAAGGCTATATATTCATAAAAATCCTTGTTTAGTAGTAAGAATAATAAAAAAAAAAAATCAACTTCTTTAAATATGAATATTATAAGTCTGCTTTCTCGCGGTTAGGAAATCAAATATAGTCTCTGTGGGGGTTGAAGGAAGGGAGTGATTGGGCGGGAACCCTTTTATTACTACAACTCCATGTCCTGGGCTTCGTCTTCTGAGAAATCAGACATGGAGCTTTCAGATGAAGAGTCACCGGTCCCTTCCTCCTGCTCCTTTAGAGCTTCCTCTGTTGCATATTTCTGAATGTACTCTAAAAAGAAAAGAAAAAAAAAAAAAAACATACATTACAAAAATATCAGAGCATTTTTTTCTTTGCAACTTTAGTAGATCTAACCTTTGATTTTCTGTTTGTACTCCTCTGGCCGATGAAGGTACATCGCAGCTGCATCTCCGTTAAGGGGGTCGATGGGGTTTGGGTAAGCCAGCAGTTGGGGCAGGAACGATTCAAAGATGTTGGTCAGATCTGGGCATAAAACAAAGAAACAAAATGTGATAATAATGGTCAGTTAACTGTTAGGTTAATGTAGGAGACAAACTGTCTGAAAGGTAACAGCAGCGTAGGACCAAAATTGGCCAAACGGTTGCATCCATTAGATGAGCACAGTCATGGAACACACTGCCTTCTCATGTTATTAGCTGTGCAGCATAAGTTTTAAAATCTCCTTGAAATATTGGTTGAAAACTAACCAGACATGTGTTCACAAGTCAATTGATCCATTTCCTTGGGCCTGTTAACCAAATTTTATTCTGACTTTATCTTATTGGCATCTTATCCGTTTGTGTTCACTCTAAAAATAAATACATTGATACATTAAGCTGACATGATGATAAAAGTGTATTGTCCTAATTCAAATAAATAAATAAATAAAATAATAAAAGTCAAGTGTCAATCAGGATTTTGGTCACTTTGATTCAAATGAAAAAGAGGTATGAAATGATATGAAATGTGTTCAACTGGAAACAAGACCGTACTTTGACTAGGCCAGTTTCATTGAGCTTCCATTTAAGCCCAGTGTGTCTATTTCAGGTGGTTTTCCTGTTGGTAGGTGAACCTCCACACAGCATTAAGTCTGTTGCAGCCCTCAATTGGTCTTCCAGTATTTCCCTGCAATAGTTGCCAAGCAATGTTTACAGAAATGCTTTCTTCTCTCTCCATCTGTTAAGCAATGATCCTGTTGCCTGCTTTTCTAAGCTAATGAATTTCTTACCCTGCCTGTCAGTTTGAGTCTGGCTGTTTCACAGTTGGAGTCTCTTTCCATGTCTAGATTTTATGCTGAGATGTTTAAAACTTAGGATACTATTTTATGACCTAACGCTCTTGAATTTATTTCACAATCATCAATTCATGGTTAGCTGGTTATAAAGTTTCAGTATCCCCTTACCAACTTGGCTTATTACAAACTTTAAACCACATAAAAAAAAAATCAACAACAGCTAAATAGACTTAATTTATAGTGCTTCTCTATTCATGCCAACACTATAGCCATCAAATTAGACAATAGAGGAAACAGCCACATTTCGGCAGCTCCTGCCCTGCTGGATAATATTCTCTTGCCTGCCTGTCTGTGCAGATGGATGGGTCCTAGTCTCTCCAGTTAGGTGGTTTCCACTGAGGGTTATCAAAGTAAAGAGGACTGAACAGAAATACTTCATAGATTTCTGATATTTGTGCTCCTAAAATTCCTTGGGGTTGTTTTTATTTTACCGTTTAAACACCATTTTGGTGGTTTATCACATAACCATTTGTGGCACTAATATAAAAAAAGAAGTAAAAAAAAAAAATTTTTAAGGTGTTAATACCTTTGAAAGGTGGTGTATTTAGAATCCATAGTCAGTAGATAAAATAGACTCGACTCTGGTGGCAAAATCAAAAGAATCTGCATTTCTCCACTTTACCACTCGGTTTCACTGTTGGGTTTGTTCAGTTTCCCTTTACTTTTAAAAGTGTTTTCGAAATATATTTAGTATCTCCTCCTTTGCAGGAAAGCATTACAGCAAATTCATTGTCTATTGCCCTATTCTACAGACATGCCTCTCCAAAGGGTTTCCATTCTTCTAAAATTAAGCACAAAACAAAAACGCCAATCAAGCTCTTCTGCCAACCTGCTCAGTTGTTGTAAACTCCAATCCAGCTCTCATATGAGGACATAAGTTATAATTAACAGGATTCAATAGCCACTTTAGCTCTGGGGCGACGACATGAAAAGAAACTAATGCAATAGAAATAAGGGCAACCCATCTTACAGCTGGGAAACGGTGAATCATCTGTGTCTAAGGTGAACGTTTCCTGACCTTGGTGGGTGAGAGCATTACGTTATTAGCGTTTACTTTTCCCTCAGTAAGTAGATTAAGACCAACAGTGGCTGCCTGCTTTGCTCAAAGACCTGCTTTTTCTTTTTTTCCCTTGTTACACTGATTGTATCACTGAAAATTATCCACATGGGTCTTAGTGGGAGGATTTAATCTAAACGTGTGTGTATGTGCAGCCATTTACCGTAAAGAGCTGTCCATGTCTGATTGATGACATCTAAGCACACCGTTCCTGACCTGAAAAGCAAGAAATATTCTAGTTAGGAGCCAGCTTACCTGAACACTTTGAAGCTCAGTCTTTCTTCCAAAACAGACAAAAAAGTGCTTCAATTATCAATTATATTACCTTTTTCATAATTATTTTACATACAGGCTCAGACATATACATTGTTCTCACAAACAGCTGAAGAATTTTTCTTAGCAAGATAAGACCACAACTCTGGTATGGGACCAGTCTTCTTGGCAGAATCAGTTGAAATAATTTTAACTGGTGGGTTTTCAATTCTACAGCATTAACCTTAGCTGCTGTGTTCATTTTAACACTAGTTTCTGATCGTTGTAGATCATTAGCCTTGTGAAACAATAAACTATGTTTGAACCTCAGCTGTCTGACCTCTTCCTTTAGATGAAAAGGGGTTATTGAGGTTGTTCTAGGACGATCCAGGAACCCCCAATGCAAATTTTTTTTCTATCATATTCCCACACACCAATGTCACCATCCAGTTAGACCAGTTTTACACCAACCAGACGTCCTTGCTTCCCAGCGACTCATTAACTGGAGTCAAGGTGAGGCCTTCAAACTTAATACAATTGGGACACAACAAGGTGTCAAACATCAATGATCCCAAACACAAATCCAGGCTGCTCTAGAATAGATACAACAAGCTAATATGAAGCATTTTAGATGCTTGTAGCGAAAATATTAACCTAAATTTTATAAAAAAATGTGCAAACTGAGATTTAAAGACAAATTCTACCATGATCATATTTCTATGTACCTGCTTATATTATTGTGACAAAATCCAGAGCTGCATGCTTTGGATTTTGTCAGGTGCATCCATCTTGTGCAAAGAAGAAATTATTTTTTATCGTGCACAGCTGTTGGCAATTCTTTTCTTGATAAAAGACGACCTGGAGCATTACTGGATGCGGATTATCCCAATATTAACACAAAGCACATTCTCAATGCTTCACAGAAAAGGGGCGAAGTAAATCTGATTAGCTTAAAATAAAAACGTATTTGTTGAATGATTAGAAAACATCATGAGGAGTTTTGTCCAACATTCTCTATGCTTTACTAACTCTGCATGAAGCTTTGCTTTTTACATTGAACCTGAGCAGTGTAATTCAATTAGTAATCCAATAAATTTCTTATCACCAGGACTTTTAACGACAACAGGAAACCATGCCACTCTAGTGAGGCAGATGTGTATGCATCTTTAGAGTCCTGAAACGGCTACAAATAAGCAGCTTCTAGCCTAAATTGGCTAAACCCTGTAGCCATGGCAACAGTAACAGCTCATTCCCACTGTAGGGCAAGGTGGAGGAACTGAGATGCTGTGGTCACGTTTCTCTCTAAAAGGCATCATTAAGAGATCTTGAGTTGTTTTTAAATTATAGAGAGAAACTATAAATAGAAATCTGTCCTGCAGCAGGATGAGGATTAAAATAAATATAAAATCCACCTTTATTTATGACCTTGTTAGTCCTTTGACCTAAAAACATACAGGTAGCCTGTTACATGAGAGGACCCAGGAGTCTCAGGTAATACTACGTCTCAATATTTGCTGATAAGCTTCAACGCAACATGTAGTAAAAACAAGTCGTTTTGCTGAAATGTAAAACCAGGTATCAACAAGTAAAACAAAAAAACCTTTAGAAAGCCTTTATTATGAATATATGACTTAAATGGACTCACGCTTCATCAATGTTGGGATGAAATATCTTGTTCATGAATCCTGAAAAAGCAAAGTAAAAATCAACACAGTCTCAGTCAAAGTTAAAAGCATCCCTAATCATAGCTGAGAAGGCACAGCTCCTACCTATTGATGGCGATTTGAATGGGTATTTATCAGGAAGATCTACTCGCACTTTCCACACTCCTCCCTCGTATGGCGCTGTGCATGACAAGAGGAAAGGAGATGATAAAGGAAGTCTTCTGAGCACCCAAGATAGACTTACTTAACTCATTTTCCAGCCTTTAGGCAATCCTCTGGTTGCTAAATAGCATCAATTTTCTTCCCAACAACAGAACTTTGTGCCCTACCTCTCTGCTCCTTTTATAGGGTAATGCATTTCAGGCCTGGAGAAATCTTTACATTTAAATCTCTTCGGATTATTCATGGACATTGAAAAGGAACGAGAGTGATTTTAGCTAGTGTGCTGCTCTCCCAGAATAGCTGTGTGTAACAAGACCCTCATGTACTTGAAGTGAGCAGCACACAGACGACTGCAAACAGATTTGTTGTGGCTGTATGGCCTGTAATGGCTTGAATCATATTGAGCACATATGTCAGCATACAAAATAGCTGCAGTGCTTAATTCAGCACAGTTTAGAGGCATCATGAAGACTCTCTTCCCCTTTTTTTCCTACCACTGCTCGACGGCCAGTGTGCCACAGATGTTTTGAGCAGCATAAGGAGGAAGTATTTCCTGCTGATAAAGCCATGGCTTCACTCTATCTTACTATCTGTGGCTTAAGGTCTGGTTTCAATTCATTTTACTTTCCTAACCACCTGTTTTTTTAAATCACAGGTCTTACATTTCCACCCTTAAGATACCTACATATATTTTTTGTTTCATTTTTAATTACCTTTAAAAAAAAAAAACGGCTAAATTCATGCATCAAACTGTTTTGTATGGCTTAAAGTGCATTGTAAAAAACAAAACAAAAAAACTACCTGGCTAAATGGCCAAACCTTTCCCTAACATTGTATGTTAGTGTCTGACAAGGTGTGGAAACTAAAAGGACACATCATTCCATCTAAGTAAGAGGCTGTCGTTGATAATCTATTAGGCTACGTTCACACTGCAGGCCTTAATGCTCAATTCCGATTTTTTTGTGAAATCGGATTTTTTTGCGTGTCCGTTCACACTTCCAAGTATATGCGACTTGTATGTGATCTACTGTGTGAACTGAATGCGTCCAACCGAAGTGTCCCGCATGCGCACTCGAGGACGCGATGACGTCACACGTAGCAAGCGTCCTCAGTGTTTGCGGAAGTAAACATGACTCGTAATACCGCAGCGTATATTGCGTTCTTTAAGTTCTTCTCCAACAGGAGCAGGCACATTACGAACGAAATCTTTTTAAGAAGATCAAAAAGAAAGACCCTCCCCCGGTTCCGGTAAGACCCTTCGAGTTTGGTCTGAATCGAGCTTTCTAAATATGAATTAAGTCAGCAACCTCACTTTCTCTCCATTGACTGCTCTCTGTGTTATCTTCCGCCATGGTTGTTAGTTTTTCCCGCCTCCGCTTAGTAGGACGCAGATTAGTAACGTTTAGTAATATTTGTCAAGTATCAATGACGTGTAGGTCGGATGAATGCGACCTGGCCGTACAGACACAGGTCGCATTTGAAAAGATCAGATACGTATCGGATTCAGGACCACATATCCAAGTGGCCTGGGTCGCATTTGAAAAAATCCGATCTGTGTCGTTCAGACTGTCATAAAAAGATCAGATACAGGTCACATATGGGCAAAAAAATCGGAATTGGGTCACTTCAGGCTGCGGTGTGAACGTAGCCTTAGTGATGGCTGGCAAAATGAGCACACAGGCTGACCAATAAAGCAACCAGCATTATTTAAGATTGTTTAATTTACTCTTAAAAAGCATAATCTTGTGCTCAATAAGTTAAGGAGCTCCACAAGGTACGTTCGGTCCTATATGTTCTTATTATAAACATAGCAAACCACAGAGTTCTCTGAACTCTATTTTTACCTTTATGCTGATGAGGCAGTAATAATGTGCTCTTTTCCTATTTTTATAACATTTTAAAGTATCTGTGACATACTTCTAACGGACAACAACAGCTCAGTTGTTCCTTCTGTCTTTCAAAGGACCAAAATGCTTGTTTTTCACTGCCTCAAGAAAAGCAAGATCAGCAGAGTCTGATTAAACTTTAACAACAAATTACATTTTTAGGATCTTTAAACAGTTACTTGTCTTTTAAAGAAAATGTTGACTGTAAAACTGAAGCTCTTATTAGGATTTGGTTAAGGATTTGGTAAGTCTTGCTTTTCTGTTCATATCAATTTCAAATACTAATTAACCTTTCTTAATGTCTTTGCATGTTTGATAGTGCATAACAGTAATAAAAAACAAACAAAAACTAAGAACAAAACCCTTTAGATTCCCTACCTATTAACAGCTCTAGAGCAGATTATTAAGGTCATCCCTACCTGCCTGTTGGCTCCGTCACTGCTGCATGTTCTAAAATGTAATAAGATGCTGACACCAAGGGTAAGATCTAAACTAGGAAGGCAATGTTTTGGGTTTTCAGCACCTGTAGTATGGAACAGTTTTTAAATCTGAATTTAATCTGCAAAATTTGGTATTCCTAATCTAGAGATCAGGCGTTTCTGTGCGTACTCATTGTAATGTACTACTCTGATGTGTGATCTTTGCATGTGCACTGTGTTGCTTTTATCTAGGCCAAGTCCCTCTTGCAAAGCGATCTCAATTTCATAATTGTGGTTAAATGGGGAAATAAATAATTTGTACATTTAGTAACTATTTTTTAAGTCCCAGTAGATAAAGTAATAGTTACACCAGTGGGTCCCAACCTTTTTCGACTGGTGTTTCCCTTTTGGCATTTTCTCTTACCATGAGTCCCCCTCTCAGTCAAAAGTATTGATAATTGCCCAAAAGTGGAACGTACAATAACTGATTATAAAATAAAAACCATTTTACCTAATCTTTTAATCTGAGCATTTGAGGATTTAATAGTAATTCCCTGGTTGGGAATCACTATTTTAAACAAGTGAATAGTTCATCTTTGTTTATTTCTCTAGGGATATTAATAATAGTTTTTCTGTTTAGTATAAAAAAAGGTTTGGTAGATGTTATGCATATTTAAATTCATTTTAATAACTTTGGTGTTTAATCAGAATTTTCTATAAGACGATTAACTTTTTCTGATTCATGAAGAACAATGTAAATAGGACTAAATTTAGGAGAGAGAATGTGGCTGAAAAAGGACTGAACTGTGAAGTAGAAATACTTACTTCCTTGTGGTCCATAAAACTTCACTACAAATTCATTGAGTCCACTGAGGATGGTGACTTCATGCTTGCTCTCGATGCTGAAAGGTTGTTAAGGAAACCTGCTTTGTGATTGGACAAACAAAATGATCAAGATGCAAACATTTTTAACAGGAAAACATCAAAATGTGGTTGAAATATGGTTTCCAAGAAAAACTAAAAGCACATCTGTTTTATAAAATAACTTCAACTGCTTTTACTAAAAAAAAACAACTATATATATATATTTTCCCATTTTCCCAGGAAAATATGTTTAATAGTGCCACAAATATGCAAGGAAATGTATTTGTTGGGACTACTATCCCTAAAAAGGTGAGCTATTCTGTTGAAGCTTTCTTCAGCCCATAATATGTTATCCAAAACCTTATCATACATTTATGTATTTTTTATTAACTTCACCTTTTCTTCTTTTAATGAGAAATGTGTTCATTGCCAGACTTTTACCATTAAATACTGCTAAAATTATATATATTACAGGAGAAAGTTGTGTTAGTAGAAGAAAGCTCAAAGTAGTATCAAGATAAACATAAAACTGGTGTTAACTTACTAATAGAAAGCTTCTTATTTTTATGTGGCTTGTGCCACATAAAAAACAAAATCAGAACAAACAACAAAAATGTAAATGTTTCCTCTAGTTTCTGCTCTTCTAAAAATACCTTTTATTTTATTTTCCTTTGAGCAGAGATAGCAACAAAACAAAGAGGTACAAATCAGGCATTAAATACCTGTGGTAAAAAAAAAAAGGCCCATAACCATAATCCGAGTAATTTCCATAGACAGTGGTAAACATCAGATGCAAAGCTTCAGGACGCTTGTCATTCATGTCTGAGTTTGTATCCTATCAGTGGCATCAGATAGCAAATGGTTAAATTGAACTGAAGGTTATTTTAAGCTCCAGCTGAATCTTCTAAGAGCAGAATGAATCCCTGGCTTCACCAAGTAAATGTGTCACTTTCAGACAGAAGGGGAAGCGTTGTGCTCAGATGTTAACTCGAGTCCGGGAGCCTAAAAATCCCAGACTCAAAGAAACCTTCATCTAAAGCTCAGCAATAACAAAAAAAAAAAAAAAACCCAGAAGCTGTTAGAAACAAGTCTTTCAGTTCTAAACTACTAGCAAAGTGTTTAGACTCAGCAGCAGGATATAAGAACGGAGAGACGTTTAACCAACAGTGAAACCACTGGTGTGATAGCAAATCTGCAAACAAATAGAAGATCGAGCTGGGCAGCAATGCTGTGGAGGGGGATGGGCTGTGACGGTTACACTGGAAGATAGCACTGTGAAAAGGTGGGGGAGCCATTAAATAATGAGGTTGATCTACATCGATAGATATAGATTCCACAATTAAAACAGGACTCCTCCTAATGTAGTAAAACCTGATTTATAAGCCTTTGGTCATAATAACCCCAGTTTAATATTAAGTTTCAGCTATTAATATGGTGGATCACACTTCATTGTTAAGGGCAATGTGTGCTTATCTATTTCGTAATAGTTGTCTTATCATCCAATAGATACTTTAAAAACTGGCCAATGGTCAATATGGTCTCTAGAGTCCAAAAACACTGTAATATCTATGCACTATCTCTAGGCAGTGATGCAAATCTTAAATACATTAAAAACATTTTCCCCATGAGCATGACTAAAGAAGTGCTGGGATAAATATAAAGAATGATTCAAATGAATAGAAAGCACAAAATACATAACTGAAAGAAATATTTAAGGACGATACGATATTCATTAAGATTTTCCATGCATCCTATCAATAATTCTAATAGGATGCAAGTGAATTCTACATGGCAAGGATATTTATTTATTACAGCTAAAGTATTAAACAACATTTTATGTTTTCCTGACGCTGTGCAACAATATTCTTTAGATGTCCTGTCAACACATGTACCTCAGTGCTGCTTTCAAGGTTTAAAAAATATTTTCTTTGTCCATAGAAATACTCTTTGAGAGTTGAAGCAGAAAGTCTGATATATGTAAAAAATATCCACAGTAAGGACCAAGATCACAAAATTTACAGTGTGGACATTTTAAACTGACATGGAGAACAAGAGATATACATCGAAGATGAAGTTTATTGTTTACCAAGAAAGATAGTTGGAAGTAGCTTAAATTTCATCTTTGAAAAAAAAAACAACAAACAAAAACTTGACTCTCAAGAGAAAAAGATTTAGTCTTAGTAGGCTTGGGTTAATTATTATTATATTTAACAGTATATACATAATTAAGGTCTTTTTATTTAGATTTAATAAAAATTTGTATTTTTTTAAATTTCTTTGGCTGTGTTATACATTGGCTGAGTCATACAGCCATAAGGAAAGCTTGACCTCAAATTTGAGGGTGTGAAAAAATGTGTTGTCCATGAAACTAAAGAAGTGCAATCCGTATGTATGCAGCGGGTAAGCTACAAAACTTATTATTTTAAACAAAACGTGTGTGGCAGAGCAGGAACTGTTTGAAGTGGGGGGAATGATCGGGTTTGACGGGTTAGGTAAACAAATAAACTGCATTCTAAACTAATGTATCGCCAACCTGAAAAAACATTAGCATTCCAACTCCAAATTGCTATAGAGTCATATACGACATGACAACGCTTTTATTCCCCACACCACGGGCCTGCTGATGTCACTTTTAGGTGACCAATACCGATTCAATTTAAAACGCTGAACACTTATTAAGCACACACTGTCCGCTTCAATCACAAAGGCAGGAATTCAACAGGTGTGCCGTTTAGCATCAAAATAACTGAGACATGCAAATGGCACTAAAGGACATCCATGTATGCAGTTTTTACGTCAAAGATCTTTCGGGGTTAAACTTGGAAAAGTATTAATAAACTCATATTTATTTTACTAAAAGCAATCAGAAAATTTCTAGAATTTCAACACAGAGATCTCAATGATTAACTACGACAACCTGTTATTTATTTTGTACAAGCTAGTCATAGCATGAGAATCTCCTAACCTGCCCATGCTTTATTAGAACTGCACCTCTCCATGTGACACCGAGTACAGCAGGACGAGGTACATTCCATCTACCTCACATCACCCCTCCCATCAACAAAGCATCAATTAAGATTACTGTGTGGTGAGCAAGTTTGAACCTAAAGTAATAAATTTTACCTGATCTGTGTTTTTCTCTCTTCATCACATGATCAGATATTCTCTCTCATTGGCCTTTAATTTCAGCCAGCGAGGATCTAGGCGGTCACTTCTCTTACAAGGCAAATAACATCTCGCCATCACCTTTTGAAGTGTTGCATTACACTTCAAAAAAAAAAAAAATTGTGGCAGATATCCATCTCCGGAAAATTACAGCTCTGGGTTTTAAAGTTTGTGAGCCGTAGGTAGAGCTGCTTTGGAAGGATTGCTCCTTAAAAAAAGAAATCTTAACGTTCTGCAGAGCAAACAGCTTTGAGAATCTCTTGGTTTATTTGCTGAAATAATACAATAAAGGAAGGAATTTCCACCTAACTGCTGCATGCGTCAAAAAGTGACTGATAAATGTATAGTACCCTGAATATGAAGAAAATAATTAGGCACCAGAAGAGTTTTTAGGACATTTACATACAAAAGATTCTGTATTGTTTTGTCCTAAATGCTAATTAACTTTCTTGATTCCTCGTCCCACTATAAGGCCTCTCCATCCTCCAACTTGGATTAGTATAAATCATAATCTGGGGATAGTACCGGGTCAATATATTTTTATATACACACATAATCTAATGCACAGGGGCCAGTAAAGTCAGAGGAACAAATGCACACATCCTCCGATCCCACATGGGGAGACAAAGCTGCTTAAAACTGGTTCACATTTGTATTTTTTTTTTTCATTTAATCAAAATATATATCTACTTTTCCTAGAGTTAAAATCAGTCACCAAGTTTGTGCAAAATTAATTATTTGGATTTTACTTTAGAGTGTCCGAGTACAGGTTATGAATGCAAAGGCCTGTCCAACGATTTAGATGTTTCTCTCAGGAGAATAAAGACATTGAAAGCCACCAGTTGTTTTGCTTTTATTTTACAGTTTCTTTGAGCTCGTCTATCATATAAAAACCAAATAAAACAAATGTAATTTTGGGGATATCACACCAACAAAATAACATAAATGAAATTACCCTGCCCAGGTTTACTTAAGGGAAAACAGGATTATATTAATAAACAGGTCTACATTTTTTTACTCCTACAGCACATCTTTAGAATTGTGTGCAGAGATATTTAGTAAATGACTTCTTCAGCAGCAGTGGAGAGATGTTTGTTTTTATTCTGGTCCATTCAAGCCACTATCCCCGTTTGACCCAAGGATCAAAATATCAGATCCCTCTCAACATCTCTCCAAGTAGGGAAAACAAACACGACGTTGAACCATAAACAGCTCAGTGTCAAACAATGTGGTGCCATGTACACTCAAAGATCGCCTTCTTAGAGACTGTTTGTTGATCCTGTAGCAGCAAAGAGTTTTACAGTTTCACAACTCTGTTTTCTGTATAGGTATATTTTATTTTATATGGGTGGAGAATGTGTTTTTAAAAAGTTCATTTTAAAAGTCAATGCAGTGGTGTTCTTCTTTAAACGTTTCTTAATTAACCTGTGTTCAACATTGCCTCTTTTTATCTCCTCACATCCCACAAACAGATGACATAATTTTTATTTAATGGACCAACTTAAATCAGCTTAAGTTTTACAACCTGTAAAAGCTTACCAGGTCAAATTATGGCTGGACAATCTTTCACTAGATACAGATCAGTTAAAGCCCAGTTAGTGATATGTAATACATTTATAAATCTTTGGGCCTCTGCATCGGGCCAGGTGTACTGATAAGCAATGAAATGACCTTTATTGATTTAATAGTCTGTGCTTTTAAACATGGGTTCTTTAAGTAACTTCAAAACCAAATTGTCCACGAGTTGGCCATAAACACAAATCGTGATGTCGGAACTGCAAAAAAAAGATATTTTATGGAAACATGCATTTTTTAGATGAAGGAATAAGAAATTGGTACTTATTAGAACTATCGAGATGATAAAATCATTTTC